TATGCCCTTCTGATTGCGAAACGCTGCTCAAACCTTCCAGTGATTCATTGATCAAGTCCTAAGAGGACTAGACTTCGTTTTTGCCTACATCGACGACATTCTCGTCACCAGTTCGAACGATGAGGAACATCTGTCACATCTCCGTCTGATCTTCGAGCGTTTTGCTCAGTATGGCTTGACGATTAATGTTGACAAATGTATTTTCGGCCAATTCTGTGTCGATTTGTTTGGTTACCGAATCGATCACAATGGTATTCGCCCACTTCCCGAAAAGACGCAAGCAATTGCGGATTACCCAATGCCTCATTCTTTCAAAAATTTGCGTCGGTTCCTCGGGATGGTCAACTATTACAATCGTTTCATTTTCGATTGTTCCCGGCTACTTCAGCCCTTGACAGATTTATTAAAAGGCAAGTCCCAAAAGTGTGAGCCAACAGCAGAAGCTATTGTGGCATTGGATAAGATCAAGCAAGCGATATCCAACGCCACAACGCTTAGCCACATGAAAAGCAATGTTGATGCACCTCTCGTTCTCAGGACGGATGCATCACAAACTGCCGTTGGTGCCGCTTTACAGCAGCTGATCAACAACCAACCTCAACCTTTGTCTGTTTTCTCCAAAAAGCTTCAGCCTGCTCAAACTCAATACAGCACATTCGGACGCGAACTTCTGGCTATTTACCTTGCCATTAAGCACTTCCGACATCTACTTGAAGGACGTACCTTCACTATCCTAACGGATCACAAACCGCTAGTTTTTGCCTTCCGCGGTTCTTCCGATCGATTTTCACCTCGTGAGACCCGTCATCTAGACTACATATCACAATTCACGACAGACATTCGTCATGTTGATGCCACTAACAACGCTGTTGCTGACGCTATGTCTCGCGTCGATCTCCATCATTTCTCACGCCAAACTATTAACCTCGAGGATACTGCGGCTGACCAAGAAGACGATCCTGAGTTCGCAGACTTGAAGACAAACGCTTCCTTGAAATTCTCTCAACTGCCTATTGTTAATTCCGATTCCAAAGTCTTTTGTGATCTGTCGACCGGAAAGCCCAGACCTTTTGTTCCACGACAGTTCCGCAGACTTGTTTTCAATCACCTGCATGGCCTTCCCCACCCTGGTATTCGAGGCAAAGTCAAGTTAATCGCTGACCGCTACTTATGGCACAATATGCGTTCCGACGTCCAATATGGGCGAAGCATTGTGTCACTTGTCAAACTAGCAAGATACATCGGCACACGATCACCGTACATGGCACATTTGTGTTACCCGACGCTAGATTTAAACATGTGCACCTTGATCTCGTTGGACCACTTCATCCATCCAATGGTTTCCAGTACTTACTGACCTGTGTCGACCGTTTCACACGATGGCCTCATGCAGTACCTTTACGAGACATTTCCACCAAAACCGTTTCGCGGACCTTCGTTGAAACCTGGATATCTGTGTTTGGCACCCCAGCCACGATCACAACAGACAGAGGTCCTCAGTTCAATTCCGCTCTCTTTCGAGACCTCAATCGTTTACTCGGCTGTTGTCATCTGCGAACAACCGCCTACCATCCAGCCGCCAACGGCCTTGTTGAACGCTTTCATCGTCAAATTAAAGCCGCAATTACCGCATCACAATCGAGTATTCACTGGTCCGAACAGCTACCAATTGTCCTTCTCGGCATTCGCAACACGGTCAAAGAAGACCTAAGTTGTTGCCCCGCTGAACTGGTTTTCGGCACAACTCTCAGGCATCCCGGTGAGATGGTGTTAGATTCCAGAATCACTGGCGAACTAGACCCGACTTCCTATGTGGTACGATTGCGACAACATTTTTCTTCAAGCCGGCCAACACCGCCCAGATTCAGCCCTCGGAACCAGCAAGTCCACTCGGATTTGCATACCTGCCCTTTCGTTTTGTGCGCGTCGATGCGGTGCCTAAACCCATGACACCATCGTATGAGGGCCCTTTCAAAGTTCTTACTGGCAAAAAGAAATACTTCGTATTGGATAGAAACGGTTCGAAAGATTCTCTGAGCCTCGTTCGCCTAAAACCAGCGTACATTGAAACTAAACCATCACAACAAGCCACCGAACAGACGTTTCCCAGTACCCCTCCTACCCAGCTAATGTGTGAAGCCTGTGTGCCCCCCTTTACAGCCTCCACTGAACCAGTAAGTGAACCATTCGCACCAAAGCACACACGCAACGGAAGCGCTGTTGTTTTGCTTTCTAAACTAATGACTACCAACAACGTACAACTTTCGAGCGTTCGCTATCCTGACTCATGCTCTAGGAGGGGAGTCCTGTAGTGTTTATAAATTCTTCACATTTTTACTCGTAACTTCCTATTCTATCTTTCGTCGATTTTTGTATATTTATTTCAACTCACACAACAAGATAAATATTCGTCTTCGAATTCCGTTCATTTTCTGGGTTCGGTGACGTTGTGCAGCCTTCGAATGTGGTGTAGTCTTCGCATCAGTCGTCGGATATCTATCTACGATCAGTATTCGATCCCTCCGTGCGTGTCATCGGACAGGTTTGCTGATTTTCACATTTTGTAACCTGACCGTGAGCAATCGAGCTAAGGTCCTATTCGCAGTAAACCTTCAGCGTTATAACCCTCTCTGTCAGACACTATAAACCTGCAGCAAGGCACAAATCGGAATTTCATATATCCTAGGTTGTTTAGAGCAGATTCTGTTGGTACACTGGGACGTAATTGTAACCAGATGTTTTAATCGTATTTGTTATGGAAAGAACCGTTTGCAGACGTGTTTCTTTGTGCAGTGGTAGCCCATTTCAAAGATAGGTGTACCTCGCTGGGAATGGATTATATCAGCTGTTTTGCATGGCATTCAATGATGATAGCAAATACATCGCATCACGATTGGAATAGTTCAAATGATTTTGTGGTAGACGGAATGTGCTGGTTGCATAAGCTTGCAACTGTACGATACTGTAAAGAAGCCTTAGGTTATTACTCATCCACCACAGCTAAAGACGGCCAATCAGGTTTTGATGAGCAGCCCAAGCTCACTTTCGCAAATGAGCTCTGTACATTTTCTAAAGTTGTTCAATATTTTAAAGCATATGAATATGTGCTGTGGTGTAGCACTCTAGCATATGCGGCGCTAGGGGTTTGATGTCAACGAGGCAGATAACCTTTAGCTGTTATATACAGTTTCTTACTGATCAGTTGTGCACAAATGTCTTTGGTTTATGGTTACGTGGCCTAGTCCACGCTTGCTGCGTTTGACTCACCTCTTGCCCCATCTGTCAGTCATGACATCGACCTTCCGTACTGTCCACCTGTTCGACTCCACCCATAGTGACATCCACGAATATGGTTCACTGTCACCGACGTTATCCAATTTTTGCTGTCAACACTTATTAGGGTTCCTGTTCCGGTTTGCATTTGAGAGTCCTATAAATGTTTGGTCACAATTCAGTTACGCGAATTTAAAATTTCGTTGCCGTGTATTTTAGCAAGTGCTCTTGTGTATTACCCTGACTGGTGCAATACTGATGCATTTCTAATCGTATTTTGTTAAGGCTAAACTGCGGCGCAGGAGGCGCGTTAACAGTTTTCTGAGCAGGCAGAGATACCTTTCGCAAAATATCTGATACCACGTAAACGATAAGGACGACGTTTAAAAGCGTCCGTACGACCTGCTTCAACATGTTCATTGATTGTGACATTTTGCTGCAAACTAGTGGCGCTGCTGTTATGCAGGAAGGAGGTAACTATGCCAGATTCAGACCAAGAAACGGCCCTTTTTAACGCGGATTATTGCCTTCCATCCTTACCACGAAGCCCAACCCGACGCGCAAACGCAGTCTTCCATTTGCAGCTGCACCCGAAGTCACTGCCCGAGTTAATCGGTACAAGCGTCAATACAGTGACGAGGTCAGATATCAGAAATCACCTTGCGCTAAATGATGTTTTTAATAGAGGCGTAAGCGGAGCACTAGGCTGTCCGCTACATGCAAAGGTCATCAGCACAGGCGTGCTATGAACCTTGACCTTACTGTTGCATTTAAGAAGCGAGTGAAAATTGATCGGTCACCAAATACCAACCCGCGTCATAGAAATCGAACTATTCCGTCAATATGATAAACCCGTGGAGCGGAATTCGCTCACTGGCTGCAAACCAGACGCAGAAGAGTGAGCGATCTAGATCTCCTAGACTAGCATATTGCAAATACTAATTAATAGAGTTAACCTATCCTGTAGATTTACACTTCTGGCCTTTTGTATTCCTTCGGTTGGCTGGGCGTATGACTGAGCATTCAGAAAAACAGTCTCACAGAGTAGCAAAGCAAGCAGTTGTCATTTGTAAAGTGCGGAGCGAAAAAATGGAGCGTTACAACAGTTTCAAAACACAGAGAGATTGGTTCTCCGGTACCCATACGCGGCTGAAATGTCTAGGAGCGGCAAAACAAGTCGTTGGTCATAATCAAAACATGGGCGGAAGTGAGCGCAGATCCTGACTGTACACAGGATAGGAATATGAATAACACTACAGACTCTGTGTGGTCAACGTTTTCCGTGTCGCATACAGTTAGTGCATGTATAAGCTATGTTTAAATTGTTGTCGGTGGTTCCACTCTTTTGCGGCTATAATTCTGCACTTTGCAAATATCTGCATTAATTTTCCATTTAATTTGGATTCATTGTTGGCATGGGTATCCGGAAGCTTCGAGATAGCATTGCTAAAGTCCGGGTACAAGGAGTTATTTCAGATACCATGCTAATTACCCCTATCTTCTTTTCTCCACTCAAAATTACATAGCCATAGAATAACTTGTAAGCAGCGACCGTTCCTTCTGCACAAGTAAAGAAATGCATACTGGCTTCATTCAATCGTCATGTGTAAGAGCGCTTATGCAACAACACCTATTTTAACACAACCAGAATAACTGATGTTTGGTCAAGTGCGGGTAAACAAGCGAGGATTGAACAAAATATCATTTAGACCAGCTAAAATACTTGCTTGTATATCACCGTGAATCAACTTCTTTTTGAATCTGTGTTCGGATTTTACCCCGGTTCCTGGAGGTTTCTTCTCCCTACTTTTTTCCTGCTACAATTCCCAGTATTTGTGCTCTGATTAAGGTTATGATTACCTGTTTCTCATAGTCTGACGCGTAATCATCAAATATACTCCATTGCGTTACATTCGCCGAAAACGTTGCTCTGGGTGGTGGCTCTGTTATACTCCCTTTGTCCTGCAAGTGCAAATGCAAAGAGTAAATGCTTACTCTGTGTGGGTTGTTGTATGTTTGTGTAGATCTTTCACTAAAGTTAAACTGGTTAATCAACTTCTTCTTCTGAACTGAGGAAACGTAATCTGCCATCAGCGGATCTTTAGCTTCCTAAAGCATACAAGGTTAGATGCTTATTTGCGCTGACATCAGTTTCAAAATCCTCTATGGCATAGCCTGAAATATCGTGACCATAAACGTCCATTCTGTACAGAGAGACCTACCATCCCTTGCTAACTGTCGTCGACCTTTATCAGAGTCCTTTGGAATCATGTGACTTTCCAGCCAAAAATGTACTGTTGTCTGATCAACTTGGGGTATTGCACGGTATTGACATTCCTTGAAATTGTACCGCACAATATTTTGGGGGGCATGAGGATTGTTAGCAGTCAAAACTCTGGTAATTTCTTCTTTCAATTCCTAAAGCCATCACGTTAATAGCACTTTACCTGTTCACTAAGTTGCAGCTGATCATCCGGTTTAAGAATAGATTTCAGCCCGCTTTCATCGAATTCATCTCTGATGCCAAAGTCCACTTCGTCGTTCTCGCTCTGACTCTTTCTAGGATACTTAATGGGTTATGAAACATTCATGCAGATATGTTTACCCTTTTCTTTATATCCAGTTTCATTTTGCTCTTTAAAAGCGACACGATTGACGTTGTTATATCAACCTGTTACACTGAAAGCTTTTAACAAACTATTTTTCGCTTTTACATTGGATACTTGTTAAAAGTTTGCCTATTTTATCCAGCGTTAGATGTTTATTCGATGCTATGAATCCCCTTATGCATGAGACCGTTGAGTGCGCCACTGGCGGAATTTTAAATCTGGGCTGTTGTTCATCGGTAACACTAGTTCTTTGGTTCATTGGTGCGTAGAGGGCATGAGAGGAGACCCTAGCCACCTCTGTCGATTCCGATTCATCGAAGATTTGACGCAACTAGCTGCGAAGCGACATTCCTCTGAGAATCGTCACCGTTGCAGTACGAGCAGCAGAGCCCTGCCGTACTCCTCAGATGGAAGTCTAGCAGCCGGTTGAAACCCTCCTCTGTCGGTGTATCAGAAATAATCTCCGGAAGGTTGTTCCAATCATTCCCTACACTAATCGATATGGCAGCCTCTGGACAGACGTGAAGTATTCGGCTGTTGTACGACTTCTACTGGTGGCCTCGTGCACAGCCATCCACGTTGTGCCGAAAGTGCTTTTGTGCATCACTCCCAATTTCTCTTCTTAGGATCCGTCTGGTGTAGGTAAGATCTCTAAGGCTCCGAGGGTAATCAATATGGTATATGTTTGGCTTTCTGAGTCGAAGCTCAATGACGGATTTTGAGCCACGTTGCTGAACCACTTCTAGCAAGAAAGATAAGTAGCTGGAAGCCCATGCAGCAATATCGGGTGGATATGTGATGTGAATAGAGTGCGGAAAATGCCGGTGTGATACGGGAGAACGACTCCATAGAGCACCTAGCTTCCTGTTTGCGGCCGCGACATTTCCCATGGTGTCTTGGGAAGTACAATGGTAAGGTGTCACTACAACCCCCAGATCCTTCTCATGCAGAAGATTCTTGAGAAGATATTCACCAACGTGGTGTACACTGAAGGAATCCGGGTTTCCAAGCGGAAGAACAGCACATTTGTCCTAGTTAACGTGTAGTTGCCACTTGACCGACCAAGCGTACAGCTGGTCCAGCGCCGTTTGAAACCTGTCAACGTGCTCAAGACTAGCTACTTGTGACCATGGGTTGAAATCATCAGCATAAACTAAGCAGTCGGTTTGAAAAGCTGCAATGAGGTCATTAAAGTAGAGCTTGAAAAGTTCTGGCCCAAGGACAGAGCCTTATGGGAGTCCACTAGTCATAGAAGTTCGCACCCCATGCAAGAACATTTCCGGTGACTCCAATTCCCTGGAGTTGGAACAGAAGTCGGGTGTGTGGGACTTCGTCAACGGCCTTGCTGAAGTCAATGTAGATAACACCTAGGTGTCTCCGGTCGTCTACCGCTCTGACCCAGGCTTCACTGCTAACAAGCAGGTTAGTGATGCAGGAGCGAGCCCTTCGGAGGCTGTGCTGAGCTGGGGAGATGGTGCATAGGCTTCCGCAGTGGGTTTGGTGGACGCGTTTGGCGATCCGTTCCATAAGCTTGTAGAGCGCAGACGTCAGGCGTATCGGTCGATAGGTTACAGGATCGTGCCGGTTCCCAGCTTCGTACTTAGGAATTACCGTCCCTATTTTCCAGTCAGGTGGTAGTCGCCCACCTGCAAGCGAACGCCGGAAAACTTGTTGCATCGAATCAAAAATGCATTCTGCTGCCGTCTTGAGAAATAACGAGTGAATTCAATCAGGGCCCGGTGCGGAGCTATGGTTCACTTCAAGTAGGAGTTGCTCGATTTTCTCGGGATTGCTTTCGAGTTGCGATGCCAGATGGTCAGTAGGTAGTGCTGGTTTCACGGAGTAGATCAAGTAGTACTGCGATGCTAGTAGTTGAGCCTTCTGTTCAGCCTGTCCTTGCGACAAGCCTATGTCCAACCAAGCAGCCAAGCTCGGTTCATTGACTTCCATCTGGAGCCCTCAATCAGCCTTCAGATTGGCATGCTTCAATGTACGCACATTGCAACAGCTCGGTCAACAATCAGCACCTGCCCTTATGTTAGAGACCCTATCGATTGATAAATGCTGCTTATCGGAGACCCCTGCAAGACTAGATCTCTGTGCTCACTTTGCGATCCCCTTCAGGTGACATCAGCATCACCATCTCTTTCCGCCTATCCGGTGACGATATAGCTTCTAGCATCGGTCAAACCGTTGTTGGTATCGCCCTGTGACCCCGAGTTGAAGCTGCTCTGATTGACTGGTTTCCAATCGGTAGCCGGTTGTGTGAGGTCCGATTGGATGGCTCGTTCTAAGGTTCGAAGTGTAGCGGGACTAATAGGCGTCCATTCATCATCACTGCCTGCGCGCCTACAAACTGTAGCCATGATTCGGTAAAGAACGACTTCTACCGCCAACTGACCTGACTCCTTCGCTACAAAAAGAACTCAGACACTGCCGTGCTAGCTGGGGATCTGAAAGCTAAAGTTGGAAAATTATCCACTGATAAACTGCATCTGGGCGGCTAACATGGTGTAAGCGCCCGTAAGGATAGCGGTGAGCGGTTGCTGCTTTGTGTGAAGATGCTCGCTTATTTCTTGCGAGCACTAATTTCCGGCACAGCACCCGCCGGAGGGTGACTTGGCGCCCACCAGCCTCGAACCAGCTATGAACGCAACTCGATCACAATGCCATTTGTTATCGGTGAAGAGGCTGCGTCCAGAACTGTCGCTCGATTTAGAGTACATGTGTGGACACCGACCATGCACATGTATATGCTGACCTGCGGACGCGTTTTGGCGGACGCCCAAGACGACGATGTGGGCGCATTGACACCAGCCAACTGGCGAACCCAGCTGTTCTAAAAGCCCATCAAAGTACGCTGTCATGCGAGTGGACTAAGCGCTCACTGGATGCGTTTGAAGCTCACTGGTATCATATTCACCAGTCCTTAGTAGCAGTAGGAATATCCACATGTGGTAAGTCCAGCCGCTAACCTGGACATTAGGTCTCTTCGCAGTCTCTGGAACTTATCGGTGCTCGTCGGCATATTCCGGCTGGGATCGAACACAATGAAACTCGCAATGAGCACCGGGCGATACTCCGTGCTAGCCTGAAGAGATGCCGCGAATCCTGGTGGTCGCATCGTGCAGCAGAGATGGAAACGGCCGCTGCCTTTGGTAACCATCCTAAGTTATTCCATTTGATATGGGAAGCGGGCAGCAGGAGACCTGGTGTTATCGAAACTATACGTGACGAGAGTGGACAGCCTATCCACAACTTGTCAAAATGCTTGGAGCGTTGGGCCGAGCAGTTGGAAAGGAAAGTTAATCGGTTGGAAGTGTTAGATTTCGCGCCGGCCACTGACAGCACCGCTCTTTGGGCTGCCCCTTCACATCAGCCCCTGGCTCAGAAGTCGCACGTGAGATCGCACTGTTGAGGTTAAAGCCGCGGGACCAGCTGCTCTCTCTCAAGCCCTCTTAAAATTCGGAGGATCTGCACTTGTGGATGACTTATACGACTTCTAGTGAAACTGTAAAAGTAGGAAACGGTTCCAACCCTACTGGAGCCATTCCGTCGTTGTTTCTATCTTCAAAGGAGGTTCACGTTCGGAATGCGGCAACCATAGAGGAATCCGTCTGATCTCCATTACCTCCAACTTGCTTGCCTATGTCATCCTTCACGGACTGACTGCTACTTGTGAAGGCCAGATTCGTGAGGGACAAGGTGGGTTTCGTCTGGGTCGTGGCTGCATCGACCACACCTTTACCTTGCGTCAGTTGTTGGAGCACCGTCACAGATATTGGCGGCCCACTCTAGGCTTTTTCCTTGACATCCAAGGTGCATTCGATTCGGTGGACAGACGTGTACTTTGCGACTGTCTACGCAGGAAACGTGTAGTTAAGAAATATGTAGGTATTATCCGATCATTATACGCGCGTAGCTCAGGCAGAGTGATGGCTTACGGCAAGCTGTCGTCTTTCAATAGCTTTAGCGGCGGGAGACAAGGGTACCCGCTGCCATCTTTCCTCTTCATTTTCGTCATTGACGAACTCACGGAACTTGGGTTCACAGGACATGACTTAGAAGGTGTGAATCTGTTCCCAGGAGCACGTCTTCTTGACTTTGAGTATGCTGAAGATACGGCCATCATCTGTGAGAGCACCCAGACGTGCCAAGTCGTGTTGGACAGATTAGCACTGGCTGTCAGCCGCTTCGGGCTTTGCTTTGCACCACCGAAGTGCAAAGCCTTCCCCCAAGTTTGGTCTAGACCGCCTCCTTCGCTGACCCTTTTTGGGATCAGCTAGAAGTCGTTCGGAAATTCAACTATCTGCCCCCGTGAGCTCCAAGATTAGGTAACGAACCATACACCAAAAGCTCGTGGCGCTTTTTCCACCCTTCGCCGCATACGACGGCATCGCGACATCACTCGCCCTGAAGGTTAGAGTGTACAACGCAGCGGCACCTTCGACCCTACTTTACGGTTATGAATCCTGGCCCCTTAGGTCAGCAGGCATACAGAGGCTAGTTACGTTCGACCATCGGTGCCTTCGCAATTTAGCGCACATCCGGTGGGAACACCGCGTGAGTAACGAGTGTGTTTGACGCCTTGTTTACAACACAGAAAAAGAACTGAACCGCTCAGCACCGTCATTTCACGCACCAGGCTCCGATGGCTCGGCCACGTATTACGCATACCAGCCCACCGACTTCCGCGACGTGCGTTGTTTGCTCACCGCGTGTGTGGATGGAAGAAGAGAAGTGGCCAAGCCATGACTTGGCCGAGAAGATCGAAGACCCTCACTTCGAAGCTGGCCTCATTTGGAGCGTCACGGCATCGTGGTTGGTGTCCGAAATGTGAAGAACACGTTGGGCTGGATACGATTGTGTGTATGGCTAGGCGTCCACCTCAGTGGCTTTCGTGCTTTGAGTTTCTTTATCCCACCCCATCCCTCTTAGCCTCCTCTCCAACAACGATCCCGTTATTTGGCATTCGGTAGTGTTGCGCAGGGAGTTACTTTTTTGCTGCGCAGTAGCCGGCAGATAGCTTACTCCAACGATGCCCATCCTTT